TATTTCAACGTTTTTTGATGGTTCTGAGCCACCAAACACACTTAAAGCATGCAGAATCGACTCAGAATAGGAAAAGGAGACGTTTAGGTCAATTTTATGCATTCTGGCGTTCGTAGATACAAGAAAACTGTTAAAATTCTTCAGAAACGTCACTTTTGAAGTGTTTTCTTGTACTTTTAAGCCAATCAGATACCCTACGGGCTCGGAAAGTGCAACGAAACCATCAAATTTTAGCTAGAAACTGTATTTTTGTCGATTTTTTTTGAATTTGAACTATATTTCAACGTTTTTTGATGGTTCTGGGCCACCAAACACACTTAAAGCATGCAGAATCGACTCAGAATAGGAAAAGGAGACGTTTAGGTCAATTTTATGCATTCTGGCGTTCGTAGATACAAGAAAACTGTTAAAATTCTTCAGAAACGTCACTTTTGAAGTGTTTTCTTGTACTTTTAAGCCAATCAGATACCCTACGGGCTCGGAAAGTGCAACGAAACCATCAAATTTTAGCTAGAAACTGTATTTTTGCCGATTTTTATTGAATTTGAACTATATTTCAACGTTTTTTTATGGTTCTGAGCCACCAAACACACTTAAAGCATGCAGAATCGACTCAGAATAGGAAAAGGAGACGTTTAGGTCAATTTTATGCATTCTGGCGTTCGTAGATACAAGAAAACTGTTAAAATTCTTCAGAAACGTCACTTTTGAAGTGTTTTCTTGTACTTTTAAGCCAATCAGATACCCTACGGGCTCGGAAAGTGCAACGAAACCATCAAATTTTAGCTAGAAACTGTATTTTTGTCGATTTTTATTGAATTTGAACTATATTTCAACGTTTTTTGATGGTTCTGAGCCACCAAACACACTTAAAGCATGCAGAATCGACTCAGAATAGGAAAAGGAGACGTTTAGGTCAATTTTATGCATTCTGGCGTTCGTAGATACAAGAAAACTGTTAAAATTCTTCAGAAACGTCACTTTTGAAGTGTTTTCTTGTACTTTTAAGCCAATCAGAAACCCTACGGGCTCGGAAAGTGCAACGAAACCATCAAATTTTAGCTAGAAACTGTATTTTTGTCGATTTTTATTGAATTTGAACTATATTTCAACGTTTTTTGATGGTTCTGAGCCACCAAACACACTTAAAGCATGCAGAATCGACTCAGAATAGGAAAAGGAGACGTTTAGGTCAATTTTATGCATTCTGGCGTTCGTAGATACAAGAAAACTGTTAAAATTCTTCAGAAACGTCACTTTTGAAGTGTTTTCTTGTACTTTTAAGCCAATCAGATACCCTACGGGCTCGGAAAGTGCAACGAAACCATCAAATTTTAGCTAGAAACTGCATTTTTGTCGATTTTTATTGAATTTGAACTATATTTCAACGTTTTTTGATGGTTCTGAGCCACCAAACACACTTAAAGCATGCAGAATCGACTCAGAATAGGAAAAGGAGACGTTTAGGTCAATTTTATGCATTCTGGCGTTCGTAGATACAAGAAAACTGTTAAAATTCTTCAGAAACGTCACTTTTGAAGTGTTTTCTTGTACTTTTAAGCCAATCAGATACCCTACGGGCTCGGAAAGTGCAACGAAACCATCAAATTTTAGCTAGAAACTGTATTTTTGTCGATTTTTATTGAATTTGAACTATATTTCAACGTTTTTTGATGGTTCTGAGCCACCAAACACACTTAAAGCATGCAGAATCGACTCAGAATAGGAAAAGGAGACGTTTAGGTTAATTTTATGCATTCTGGCGTTCGTAGATACAAGAAAACTGTTAAAATTCTTCAGAAACGTCACTTTTGAAGTGTTTTCTTGTACTTTTAAGCCAATCAGATACCCTACGGGCTCGGAAAGTGCAACGAAACCATCAAATTTTAGCTAGAAACTGTATTTTTGTCGATTTTTATTGAATTTGAACTATATTTCAACGTTTTTTGATGGTTCTGAGCCACCAAACACACTTAAAGCATGCAGAATCGACTCAGAATAGGAAAAGGAGACGTTTAGGTCAATTTTATGCATTCTGGCGTTCGTAGATACAAGAAAACTGTTAAAATTCTTCAGAAACGTCACTTTTGAAGTGTTTTCTTGTACTTTTAAGCCAATCAGATACCCTACGGGCTCGGAAAGTGCAACGAAACCATCAAATTTTAGCTAGAAACTGTATTTTTGTCGATTTTTATTGAATTTGAACTATATTTCAACGTTTTTTGATGGTTCTGAGCCACCAAACTCACTTAAAGCATGCAGAATCGACTCAGAATAGGAAAAGGAGACGTTTAGGTCAATTTTATGCATTCTGGCGTTCGTAGATACAAAAAAACTGTTAAAATTCTTCAGAAACGTCACTTTTGAAGTGTTTTCTTGTACTTTTAAGCCAATCAGATACCCTACGGGCTCGGAAAGTGCAACGAAACCATCAAATTTTAGCTAGAAACTGTATTTTTGTCGATTTTTATTGAATTTGAACTATATTTCAACGTTTTTTGATGGTTCTGAGCCACCAAACACACTTAAAGCATGCAGAATCGACTCAGAATAGGAAACGGAGACGTTTAGGTCAATTTTATGCATTCTGGCGTTCGTAGATACAAGAAAACTGTTAAAATTCTTCAGAAACGTCACTTTTGAAGTGTTTTCTTGTACTTTTAAGCCAATCAGATACCCTACGGGCTCGGAAAGTGCAACGAAACCATCAAATTTTAGCTAGAAACTGTATTTTTGTCGATTTTTATTGAATTTGAACTATATTTCAACGTTTTTTGATGGTTCTGAGCCACCAAACACACTTAAAGCATGCAGAATCGACTCAGAATAGGAAAAGGAGACGTTTAGGTCAATTTTATGCATTCTGGCGTTCGTAGATACAAGAAAACTGTTAAAATTCTTCAGAAACGTCACTTTTGAAGTGTTTTCTTGTACTTTTAAGCCAATCAGATACCCTACGGGCTCGGAAAGTACAACGAAACCATCAAATTTTAGCTAGAAACTGTATTTTTGTCGATTTTTATTGAATTTGAACTATATTTCAACGTTTTTTGATGGTTCTGAGCCACCAAACACACTTAAAGCATGCAGAATCGACTCAGAATAGGAAAAGGAGACGTTTAGGTCAATTTTATGCATTCTGGCGTTAGTAGATACAAGAAAACTGTTAAAATTCTTCAGAAACGTCACTTTTGAAGTGTTTTCTTGTACTTTTAAGCCAATCAGATACCCAACGGGCTCGGAAAGTGCAACGAAACCATCAAATTTTAGCTAGAAACTGTATTTTTGTCGACTTTTATTGAATTTGAACTATATTTCAACGTTTTTTGATGGTTCTGAGCCACCAAACACACTTAAAGCATGCAGAATCGACTCAGAATAGGAAAAGGAGACGTTTAGGTCAATTTTATGCATTCTGGCGTTCGTAGATACAAGAAAACTGTTAAAATTCTTCAGAAACGTCACTTTTGAAGTGTTTTCTTGTACTTTTAAGCCAATCAGATACCCAACGGGCTCGGAAAGTGCAACAAAACCATCAAATTTTAGCTAGAAACTGTATTTTTGTCGATTTTTATTGAATTTGAACTATATTTCAACGTTTTTTGATGGTTCTGAGCCACCAAACACAATTAAAGCATGCAGAATCGATTCAGAATAGGAAAAGGAGACGTTTAGGTCAATTTTATGCATTCTGGCGTTAGTAGATACAAGAAAACTGTTAAAATTCTTCAGAAACGTCATTTTTGAAGTGTTTTCTTGTACTTTTAAGCCAATCAGATACCCTACGGGCTCGGAAAGTGCAACGAAACCATCAAATTTTAGCTAGAAACTGTAATTTTGTCGATTTTTATTGAATTTGAACTATATTTCAACGTTTTTTGATGGTTCTGAGCCACCAAACACACTTAAAGCATGCAGAATCGACTCAGAATAGGAAAAGGAGACGTTTAGGTCAATTTTATGCATTCTGGCGTTCGTAGATACAAGAAAAATGTTAAAATTCTTCAGAAACGTCACTTTTGAAGTGTTTTCTTGTACTTTTAAGCCAATCAGATACCCTACGGGCTCGGAAAGTGCAACGAAACCATCAAATTTTAGCTAGAAACTGTATTTTTGTCGATTTTTATTGAATTTGAACTATATTTCAACGTTTTTTAATAATAATAATAATAATAATAATTTATTGTACTCAACAGAGATTAATCTCCAATTACAGAATACAAAACAAAAGTAAAAAAGTAGTCTATCTTACAAATAAATAATTAGATACAACGTATGCCTGCAAATATATCTAAATATCAAGAAAAAAATAGAACAATAAGTATAACTCATTATAAAAAAGAGTAGAACAAAATTCTGACGCTCTGTAATTATGTGTTGTGCTGTAAGTGCCTCCTGGATGCAAAATTTGTGATATCTGTCTGCTTACAAGTAAATATATCATATATATAATGGAAGTTGTTCACGGCATTACAAATGTTGTTAATAGGAGAGTATTTCATGAGATTGGTCCTAGCTCTGCTGTTGTATAAAATATTCCGCCTTCTAACCATAACCGTTGAACAACTAAAATTAAATAAGTTTAATAAATATGGACAGCTGATGTAATTATTGAGCAGTTTTACAAAAAACCGCACATAAGCAGTGTTTATTCGATCGGCAATGCTTAACATGGAAAACTTCCAGAGCAACTCTTCTTGTGGAAATCGACGCGGTGGATATATATGAAACATTTTAAAATTTAAATACTTTAGGAATCTTCTTTGAACTCTTTCTATTTCCATAACATAAGTACTGTAATGTGGATACCACACAATTGCCGCATACTCAAGTTTGCTCCTAACCAGAGAATAATAGAGCAATTTAACTGGTGTTTCACTTTTTAAGTCGGTACAATTCCTAACTATAAAACCAAACATTTTTAGTGCTTCCGATATAATAGTATTAACATGATTTGTGAAAGACAGATTTTTATCAAAAATAACGCCCAGATCCTTTACCTGAGATTGTCGCAGAATAATGTTGTTATTGAGGGTGTAGTCAAAGACTATCAAAACTCTTAATAAGGTGAACGATAAAAGATAACATTTCTTATAGTTTAATTGAAGAAGATTCTTTGAACACCACGAATGTACCTTATCTAGGTCCGATTGCAAAACTAGACAGTCTTGAATGCTAGTAATGCGACGATATAGTTTCATATCGTCAGCGTACAGAAGAACAGAAGATCTGATATCATTGACAACGTCATTTATAAAAATGTTAAAAATTAGGGGCCCAAGAACAGAGCCTTGAGGAACGCCTGAAGTAGCAGTGAAATTGGATGAACGAAAGCCACAACATTCAACAAAGCATTTACGTTCAGTAATGTAACTAGTGAAAAGTAAATATAATTTTTCAGAAAAACCGAATTCTAAGAGTTTTCGCAGCAAAATAGCATGGTCCAAACGATCAAATGCTTTTGAAAAATCTGTGTACACAACATCAGTGTGATAGCCATTGTCTAAATTGCTAGCGAGATCTTGAGATATGGTCATTAAATTCGTAACTGTGGAGCGGCCTTGAACGAATCCATGTTGGGCATCACTTAAATGATGTTTAATCTGGTAATAGATAGTGTCATGCAAAAGAGATTCAAAGATCTTAGCGAAATTATTCAGAAGAGAAATAGGACGGTAGTTCTCTATGACCGACTTGTCATCTTTTTTAAAGAGGGGGATAATTTTGGATACTTTCCAATGATCAGGAAAAGTTTGTGTTGACAGTATTATGTTGTAGAGGTATGTTAGTGGCTTAGAAAAAATTCCGACGCAATCTTTGATCAAAAAAGCAGGAATGGAATCGGGACCCGCAGTGTTATTGGATTTTAAGTTTTTTATTTTTAAGAACACTTCGTCTTCAGATATTTCAGTGACAGAAAAGTTATTGTAAGACATAGAGTCCCTGTTGTTAACTGGGCCAAAAATATTCGATGGTTGAAAAGTTGATTTAAAATAATTAGCAAATGAATGCACAATTTGATTACCTCCAGAGACTGTTTTATTCAAATAAGTCATATTGCAAGGGACACCCGAGTTCCCTTTCTTTAACTTCACAAATTTCCAGAATTCTTTTGGGTCCGATTTTATGTTTGATTCAGCTTCAGCCACAAAATTTCCGTAGGCTACTCGAATTTCTTTCTTGACAAGCTTCCTGTATTGTGTAAATTCCTCACGATCGCTAAGTAATCCTGATTTCTTAAATTTCTTCCATAATGAATCCTTTTTCTTAATTAACTTAATAATCTTTGCTGAAAACCAGACAGGATATTTTAAGGAACGGGGTTTGGTTTTGGGCACAAAACGCTCCAAAATTGAAAATAGGAATTCATAGAATGCCTGACAAGCTGAATTAGCATCATGATATCTGAGTAAAAAATTCCAGTCAGAAAGCAACAGCTCACTGTATAGTTCCTGAAAATTAGCTTTATGAAAATTGAAATAAAAAATTGTGTCAGGGCTTAATTCTTTAGGTGATTTTGAAATGTGCAGATTATGAGTCCAATTTAAGGACGGATGGTGTAAGTCTTCATTTACTAGAGGGTCATTTGCCTTAGAGATGGTAATACACTCATTTGAAATTACGAGGTCAAGAATTCGATTAAGATTATTTGTAATATTATTACACTGATGTAAAGAAAGAAACGTGAGGAAATCCGAAAGGTGTTTGACAGATGGTGGTAAGTCCATAGAGTTAATACAACTGCTGTATGCAGGTAAATTAAAATCTCCAACAATAAATACATTTGAGTCATACAAATAATTACATTGGCATAGAGTTTCAAATAGCAAAGAATATTCATTGGTAGATAAGGCAGGGGGAATATAGAGTAAGAGAAGTTGAAGAATGCATTTTTGAAAATAAAGTTTGATGCCAATTAAGTCGATCGATGGCAGTGACGTTAAATTTAAATTACTTAGATCTAATTTTACGGCCCTTATAGATGAATTAACGGCTATTAAAACACCACCTCCTCTAGAAACTTTTAATGTATCGTATTTCCTATCTGAACGGAAAATACGATAACTGGGAGGAAAAATTTCATTATCTGCTATACTATCATTAAGCCACGTCTCCGTCAGTAGAATTATATCATAAAAATTATCTGATACATTTAGATAAAAACTTGATAATTTAGATCTGAGACTACGAACATTCTGATAATAAAAATTTAATATATCAAAGTGGCTAATGCTCAACGAATTATTTAGTCAAGAAGACGAAGAAGAGGATGGTGGCAGAGGTTCCATTAAAGTTTTGGGAGTAGCTAAAGAGATGGGTATGTTGAACACATCCTGTTTAAGTTTAGCTAGGGCTAACTTGTATGCAAAGCATCTATTATAGTCCCACACAGCATGAGATGTATCAAGATGTATAAGATGTTGGGAGTTACGAAGATGAGAACAGTTTAAACAGCTAAATTTTGTTTTATCTTTGTTTACGAGGCAGTCCTTGAGTACATGAGATTCAGAACATACAGGGCACACAGGATTTTTCTTACACTGACTTGAACCATGGTTAAAGGCATTACACTTGAAACACCTCAAAACTGTAACAGCGTCATACACTGTGCAACCATTGAGGCCTATAAGTAGATGACCTGTATCTAGAAGTTTTTTGTAGGAATCAGCATCAACTAAACATTCAGCTTGAAGAGTATTTTCAGATTTGGAAGTAGACCAAATTTTTTTAACTTCACAAATGGAATCTTTATGAAACAAATGCGGATTTTGAGTTAAGGCGTAAGTTGCAATATCATTTTTATCCAAACCTTCGGGGATACCAACAAAGCGTAGGCGAGGTAGAATGAGAGGTGTTTTTTTAATGTTGTAAGTATCGGGAAGTTTATTGCTGGCGATATCTAAGAGTTTCTCGCTGTGAAGTTTATTTGCACATTTTATTACAAGGCCGCCATTAGATACAGATTTAACGCTACTAATTTCAATATCTGAAGATAGAGGTTTAATAGAATGGAGAACATCTGACTTGGTTTGTTTAACGGTTTGGGACGAGTTTTTTGGCTTAATAATAACGCTGCATTCAGAAGCATTTTTTAACTTATTAGCATAACTGAGGTTTTCGTTAATAGGATGCGAAGTTGTATTAATGGAGTGCTGCAGAGATTCTAATTGATGTCGTATAGGCTTAAGCTCATGGGATACAATAGTGTGAACATATTTCAAAAAAGGATTTTCAGCATTTAAAGGCGATGCTTCAGAGGGAGACAGAGGAGGAGTATTAAAAACGTCGATGCAAATCACACACAAAATTTTTAAGTGAGGCGAATGCAAATGAAGACGATTAATCGTACTAATTTCTTCCTGCTTGATTCCCAGGCAGTTGAAGTGAGAAAACTGTTTGCAAAGGTCACAAGCTATACCGCACGATGCAGAAACAGGATTATTACAACCGGAACAGATGTGATTACATGCCATAGCGAAAACGCTAGGCTTAAAACCAGAAAAATTCTTCACAAAACTAATAGCATGCAAGGATATTCAAACGTAAACAAACAAAACTTACACAGCGTATCCCAAACAGGTTTTACGCCGGCGCCCACAGCGCTGACTGTGGCGTTTGTGTGGCCAATAAAGGAACTATCAAAAGTAAACAAACCGATATTAAAATACTAAATTACAAATTAAGTAAGTTTGATAACAGCTCACTAATTGACTGTTACGCAAATAGAAGCGGAATGCATAAAAGTGTAAATTAAATGCAACTTACATAAGAATGATTGTCTAAAATGGCAAAATAAACTGATATCATTGAGAGCACACATCAAACGTCACTTTTAACAAGCTCACCACTCAGAATGCGAATGATGTGATGGTTCTGAGCCACCAAACACACTTAAAGCATGCAGAATCGACTCAGAATAGGAAAAGGAGACGTTTAGGTCAATTTTATGCATTCTGGCGTTCGTAGATACAAGAAAACTGTTAAAATTCTTCAGAAACGTCACTTTTGAAGTGTTTTCTTGTACTTTTAAGCCAATCAGATACCCTACGGGCTCGGAAAGTGCAACGAAACCATCAAATTTTAGCTAGAAACTGTATTTTTGTCGATTTTTATTGAATTTGAACTATATTTCAACGTTTTTTGATGGTTCTGAGCCACCAAACACACTTAAAGCATGCAGAATCGACTCAGAATAGGAAAAGGAGACGTTTAGGTCAATTTTATGCATTCTGGCGTTCGTAGATACAAGAAAACTGATAAAATTCTTCAGAAACGTCACTTTTGAAGTGTTTTCTTGTACTTTTAAGCCAATCAGATACCCTACGGGCTCGGAAAGTGCAACGAAACCATCAAATTTTAGCTAGAAACTGTATTTTTGAAGATTTTTATTGAATTTGAACTATATTTCAACGTTTTTTGATGGTTCTGAGCCACCAAACACACTTAAAGCATGCAGAATCGACTCAGAATAGGAAAAGGAGACGTTTAGGTCAATTTTATGCATTCTGGCGTTCGTAGATACAAGAAAACTGTTAAAATTCTTCAGAAACGTCACTTTTGAAGTGTTTTCTTGTACTTTTAAGCCAATCAGATACCCTACGGGCTCGGAAAGTGCAACGAAACCATCAAATTTTAGCTAGAAACTGTATTTTTGTCGATTTTTATTGAATTTTAACTATATTTCAACGTTTTTTGATGGTTCTGAGCCACCAAACACACTTAAAGCATGCAGAATCGACTCAGAATAGGAAAAGGAGACGTTTAGGTCGATTTTATGCATTCTGGCGTTCGTAGATACAAGAAAACTGTTAAAATTCTTCAGAAACGTCACTTTTGAAGTGTTTTCTTGTACTTTTAAGCCAATCAGATACCCTACGGGCTCGGAAAGTGCAACGAAACCATCAAATTTTAGCTAGAAACTGTATTTTTGTCGATTTTTATTGAATTTGAACTATATTTCAACGTTTTTTGATGGTTCTGAGCCACCAAACACACTTAAAACATGCAGAATCGACTCAGAATAGGAAAAGGAGACGTTTAGGTCAATTTTATGCATTCTGGCGTTCGTAGATACAAGAAAACTGTTAAAATTCTTCAGAAACGTCACTTTTGAAGTGTTTTCTTGTACTTTTAAGCCAATCAGATACCCTACGGGCTCGGAAAGTGCAACGAAACCATCAAATTTTAGCTAGAAACTGTATTTTTGTCGATTTTTATTGAATTTGAACTATATTTCAACGTTTTTTGATGGTTCTGAGCCACCAAACACACTTAAAGCATGCAGAATCGACTCAGAATAGGAAAAGGAGACGTTTAGGTCAATTTTATGCATTCTGGCGTTCGTAGATACAAGAAAACTGTTAAAATTTTTCAGAAACGTCACTTTTGAAGTGTTTTCTTGTACTTTTAAGCCAATCAGATACCCTACGGGCTCGGAAAGTGCAACGAAACCATCAAATTTTAGCTAGAAACTGTATTTTTGTCGATTTTTATTGAATTTGAACTATATTTCAACGTTTTTTGATGGTTCTGAGCCACCAAACACACTTAAAGCATGCAGAATCGACTCAGAATAGGAAAAGGAGACGTTTAGGTCAATTTTATGCATTCTGGCGTTCGTAGATACAAGAAAACTGTTAAAATTCTTCAGAAACGTCACTTTTGAAGTGTTTTCTTGTACTTTTAAGCCAATCAGATACCCTACGGGCTCGGAAAGTGCAACGAAACCATCAAATTTTAGCTAGAAACTGTATTTTTGTCGATTTTTATTGAATTTGAACTATATTTCAACGTTTTTTGATGGTTCTGAGCCACCAAACACACTTAAAGCATGCAGAATCGACTCAGAATAGGAAAAGGAGACGTTTAGGTCAATTTTATGCATTCTGGCGTTCGTAGATACAAGAAAACTGTTAAAATTCTTCAGAAACGTCACTTTTGAAGTGTTTTCTTGTACTTTTAAGCCAATCAGATACCCTACGGGCTCGGAAAGTGCAACGAAACCATCAAATTTTAGCTAGAAACTGTATTTTTGAAGATTTTTATTGAATTTGAACTATATTTCAACGTTTTTTGATGGTTCTGAGCCACCAAACACACTTAAAGCATGCAGAATCGACTCAGAATAGGAAAAGGAGACGTTTAGGTCAATTTTATGCATTCTGGCGTTCGTAGATACAAGAAAACTGTTAAAATTCTTCAGAAACGTCACTTTTGAAGTGTTTTCTTGTACTTTTAAGCCAATCAGATACCCTACGGGCTCGGAAAGTGCAACGAAACCATCAAATTTTAGCTAGAAACTGTATTTTTGTCGATTTTTATTGAATTTGAACTATATTTCAACGTTTTTTGATGGTTCTGAGCCACCAAACACACTTAAAGCATGCAGAATCGACTCAGAATAGGAAAAGGAGACGTTTAGGTCAATTTTATGCATTCTGGCGTTCGTAGATACAAGAAAACTGTTAAAATTCTTCAGAAACGTCACTTTTGAAGTGTTTTCTTGTACTTTTAAGCCAATCAGATACCCTACGGGCTCGGAAAGTGCAACGAAACCATCAAATTTTAGCTAGAAACTGTATTTTTGTCGATTTTTATTGAATTTGAACTATATTTCAACGTTTTTTGATGGTTCTGAGCCACCAAACACACTTAAAGCATGCAGAATCGACTCAGAATAGGAAAAGGAGACGTTTAGGTCAATTTTATGCATTCTGGCGTTCGTAGATACAAGAAAACTCTTAAAATTCTTTAGAAACGTCACTTTTGAAGTGTTTTCTTGTACTTTTAAGCCAATCAGATACCCTACGGGCTCGGAAAGTGCAACGAAACCATCAAATTTTAGCTAGAAACTGTATTTTTGTCGATTTTTATTGAATTTTAACTATATTTCAACGTTTTTTGATGGTTCTGAGCCACCAAACACACTTAAAGCATGCAGAATCGACTCAGAATAGGAAAAGGAGACGTTTAGGTCGATTTTATGCATTCTGGCGTTCGTAGATACAAGAAAACTGTTAAAATTCTTCAGAAACGTCACTTTTGAAGTGTTTTCTTGTACTTTTAAGCCAATCAGATACCCTACGGGCTCGGAAAGTGCAACGAAACCATCAAATTTTAGCTAGAAACTGTATTTTTGTCGATTTTTATTGAATTTGAACTATATTTCAACGTTTTTTGATGGTTCTGAGCCACCAAACACACTTAAAGCATGCAGAATCGACTCAGAATAGGAAAAGGAGACGTTTAGGTCAATTTTATGCATTCTGGCGTTCGTAGATACAAGAAAACTGTTAAAATTCTTCAGAAACGTCACTTTTGAAGTGTTTTCTTGTACTTTTAAGCCAATCCTACGGGCTCGGAAAGTGCAACGAAACCATCAAATTTTAGCTAGAAACTGTATTTTTGTCGATTTTTATTGAATTTGAACTATATTTCAACGTTTTTTGATGGTTCTCAGCCACCAAACACACTTAAAGCATGCAGAATCGACTCAGAATAGGAAAAGGAGACGTTTAGGTCAATTTTATGCATTCTGGCGTTCGTAGATACAAGAAAACTGTTAAAATTCTTCAGAAACGTCACTTTTGAAGTGTTTTCTTGTACTTTTAAGCCAATCAGATACCCTACGGGCTCGGAAAGTGCAACGAAACCATCAAATTTTAGCTAGAAACTGTATTTTTGTCGATTTTTATTGAATTTGATCTATATTTCAACGTTTTTTGATGGTTCTGAGCCACCAAACACACTTAAAGCATGCAGAATCGACTCAGAATAGGAAAAGGAGACGTTTAGGTCAATTTTATGCATTCTGGCGTTCGTAGATACAAGAAAACTGTTAAAATTTTTCAGAAACGTCACTTTTGAAGTGTTTTCTTGTACTTTTACGCCAATCAGATACCCTACGGGCTCGGAAAGTGCAACGAAACCATCAAATTTTAGCTAGAAACTGTATTTTTGTCGATTTTTATTGAATTTGAACTATATTTCAACGTTTTTTGATGGTTCTGAGCCACCAAACACACTTAAAGCATGCAGAATCGACTCAGAATAGGAAAAGGAGACGTTTAGGTCAATTTTATGCATTCTGGCGTTCGTAGATACAAGAAAACTGTTAAAATTCTTCAGAAACGTCACTTTTGAAGTGTTTTCTTGTACTTTTAAGCCAATCAGATACCCTACGGGCTCGGAAAGTGCAACGAAACCATCAAATTTTAGCTAGAAACTGTATTTTTGTCGATTTTTATTGAATTTGAACTATATTTCAACGTTTTTTGATGGTTCTGAGCCACCAAACACACTTAAAGCATGCAGAATCGACTCAGAATAGGAAAAGGAGACGTTTAGGTCGATTTTATGCATTCTGGCGTTCGTAGATACAAGAAAACTGTTAAAATTCTTCAGAAACGTCACTTTTGAAGTGTTTTCTTGTACTTTTAAGCCAATCAGATACCCTACGGGCTCGGAAAGTGCA